CTCATCTCACTCTGCTCTCCTCCACACACTCCCCCACCTCTCCACTTTCATCTCACTCTACTCCACATGACCTGCTCTCCAGTTTAGCAACACGTGGGCCTCTGTCAAAACTCTTGGCCAACTTCTGATAAGTTGATGGTCGCTTCTTCTCGGCTGCTGCCCCCGCGGTCTGAAATTCCTTTTCTCGAGCCATTCTGCGTACAGCCGACCTGTTTCCGTGGAGCGTCTTTGTTAGCCGCTGTGCCCTAACGTAATCTCTGGCTCCCAGCGTTCTCTACCTCTCCCTGCAAAAAGAAAAAAACCCACCCCTAACGAACCCCCCGACGCATTCAAACTTTCCAACTTGTGCACGGTCCACCCTCTGCGTGCAGGGCATCTCATCGCGCGATCACAGCCAGTTGCTTCACGAACTCGTATTCGCTTTGCGTCGTACATTCATCCCTGCAGAGCCGTTTGAACGTCTCGCCAAGCGGAGCACTTCAAAACGACGTTTATTTTCCTTGCCTTTAAAAAATTTGCTCCGCGTGTTTAATTTTTTATTTATTTAGCGAGTGGTGAAAGAGTCGGGCAGGAGGGAAAAAATAATAACACATTCCAGCGAAGTCGACGCGAATTGTACGTGAAATCGATCGGGGGGCGGCGGGCGGGGGGGGGAGGGGGGCAGCCACTGGCGAGCAATTTTACGTTGTCAGAGCCAGTCGCACGTCGGCGCAGTTGGCCGGGTTTTATGGCGGACGGTCTATGGCTGGCACGGCGAGGCTCACCGGCTCTCCGGCTCTCCGGCTCTCCGGCTCTCCGGCTCTCACCCGTGGGCGGCGCAGCAGAGAGAGGGAGAGAGAGAGCCGCCCTTCGTTGAAACTGCGAGCGCGGCACGCGGCCCCGGCGCTCCTCGCTAATTGGAAGCAGCAGCGCGGCCATGCGGGGGCCAAACGGCGAAGTCGCCACCACAGGCGCGGTGACGGCGGCGAAGGTGACTGCGGCGGGGGTGACGGCGGCGAGGGTGACGGCGGCGAGGGTGACTGCGGCGGCGGTGGCGCCGAGTGGGGGGGGGGGGGGGGGGGGAAGACCCCCGGACATGAGATGAGAATTGCTCCGCCAGTTCCTAAAAAACCCGGCAATCCGAGATGATCATTTCTGTCCCGTGCCACCGCACCCCCCCCCCCTCCCCAGCAATGGGTATCGGATGTGATGACCAGTAAAGAGGTTGTTGGTGGTTTATATGTGCCCGGTGTGTGTGTGTGTCCTCGGCAGCATCGTAATAATATATTTTTTTAAGAAGCGCGATGAAACGTACAAACAAAAGCAGCAAGGCAACCACACGGTGAGCCGGTGCCAAAACTTGCCCGAGCTCTGCGTTCCTCTCTATATAAAGCCGTTATCAGCCAAGTAATGTGGGATGTAACTTCGTCTGATTGACGTGACACGATTGAGCGGCATAACAATAAAATAGTTGCGAGGAAGAAAAATTCTAGAAAAACGTATGGACACAAAAAAACTAAGTAAAAAAAAGAAAGTAAGAATAAGTTCTCGACAAAATTACTTGCTAATACGTTCGCTATTTTGTTTCCCTTCCTGCCATCGCCTTCCTCCTCTCGGTTAATCGTTCGGGTTTCTTGTTTTGCCATCACTTCCCGTCACGGCTAAACTGCGTCATAAATCAATCTCTCTGCTCGTTGCTTTGGAGATTCTAAACTCGGACGTAGCAGGGGCTGGGGGGGGGCACAGTTAAAGCTTTGCTTTTTTTCATTTTTTCTCCCCCCAGCAAAGAGAGAAGGGGGGGGCGGGGGGGTACACGAGGGGGGGAGGTCACAGAACTGAGCCTCGGTCGCCTCGTGTGCAGGCGGAGAAAATTAGCCGCGCGTCCGAATTTCGCGTGCACTGCAAACGAGATGCCGTCGCCGATGATAACGATCCGTTTCAACCTCGCGACGCCCCCACACAGTTCCCTAGCTGCCTGAGAGAGAGGGAGAACACACTCGGGAGGCGGCTGCTCAAGCTCTGCGATCCCCTACATGTTAAGATGTATTCAGCCACGTGGGAGGAAACCGATGCACCCGGGGAAAAAAACCCCATGTGTGCAATGGGGCAACACTCTCCCGTACATACAGAACAGGCGGAGTCGTCCACAGCTTTGCCATCCCACCTTCTCCTTGCACCTCCTCGACACCCACGGGAAGGGAGTTTCGCACCATCCGTGCGGCGATCCACCAACCCCTCGCTGCTGCCTCCGCAGTGCTGGATGATGGGCCACGCGCGTAGTGACGCCGGCTTGGACCGCACGGAGCTCGCCCGGCGCCCCGATGTCGGGCGAGCGATCGTCCGTGCCGACAAATGCCCGCAAGTTCAAAAGCTCCGGCAGATGTTTTTTTCCGCGCGGGCAGTTCTCAACGTCCGATTCGTACGCTTGGCTACGTACGGTGCGAAATAAGTTTCACACGCGCACACACACACACAAACATCGTGCCGTCACCGGCGCGACGTTGTACGGGTGTCGTCAGGGAAGGGATCGAACCCACGACCTCTTGCATACCAGACGAGGGAGATAATATCTCGCCACCGCGGCGAGGCAACGATGTCGGGAAATGGTCCTTGTTGGCATCGCATGACGGGAGGCCGGAGCGCCGACTGGGTTCGGGACTCCTGAGTGAGCGCGTTGATAAACCCGGAGTCCGGAACGCGTGCACGGTCTGGACCCCGAGACGTTTCCCGGGTGCGTGCAGTGCACCGTGCTTTCTTCACGCGCACCGGTTTTTTTCGGGCGATGACCTTTGGCAGTCTAATGCGGTATTTTAATTGGTTTGGATTTTATTCAGAACTTTCCTGTGGGGGGGCCCATTGTGTGTGCGCGTGTGTGCGTGCGCTTGTCTGTGTGTACGTGTGGGTGATCGGTGGCGCAGCGGTTAGCACGCTGTGCTTGAAAACCCGGCGACCCGGGTTCGATTCCTGCTCGCGACCAATAACAATGGCGAAATACTTGAACTGGTCCTGGGCCTCCCCTAGGTTGACTCGGCCTCAAATGAGTACCTGGGGTGACGTGCGAACGTCGCTACTTGGGAGATAAAGGCGTGGTGCCGGCCACCCACCCCCTCGTGTGCCGTGCCGGCCTTGATAGGTGCTCGCGAACAGCACTTCCCCCAACAGTTTGTTCAAGGCTATACGGGGCATCTTTGTCTTTGGGTGTGTGGTAATTTTTTCATGGTTTGAGCTTTCAATACACTTAAAACGTAGCTTTTAGTAGGCCAGTACAACGATCCATGTTTGTTTTTTTGTGTTCTATGTCTATCCTTGCATATGATGGTTATAAGTTTAGGAACTAAATTTCCAATGTCGTGGTCTGCTGGCTTTAGCAGACAGTATGTATAGTTTTGCCGTTCCTCAAATGCTGTGGTCCGTAGATCGTGTTGCATGGCCATGGCTGCACTGCTTTAGCTTACATCTTGAATTGTTTTGCTTTATGAAGGATATGTTCTGATGCGGTTGATAGTTCCACATCGGTGTCTTGGAGGAGGAATGTCAAAGACAGGAGGTGCGATGATGTTTGGGTCTCGAACGAGGAGGTGTTTATTCTGGACGTCCGCGTTTGTTCCACTCTGCTCGCCAGTTTTCTTCCGGATCTATGTGAGATTCTAGGATGGGTTTTTCCGTGTTAAAAACTTTTTTGATGTATTATGGCGGTGAATGCTTCACAAGGAACGTACATGTGCAGGTGTCTCGTGCTTTATATCGCTGAACAGAACAATGTGTCTTGTAAAACTCGGCTTATTCCTACAATAACACTGGCCTTAAAAATATATATTTTAATATTCTACGTAGCACACAAACAAAGCGCGAACCTCTGAGGCAAGCACTTTGAACGACGCTACTGCAGAACCACGTCACCGCTCCATTTTAGGAAATCGCACGCTTAACGGTACGTTAGCATCGTAGGTGTCTCTTTGGTGCTTTTTATTGCTTGAAAGGGTGAAGCGTTTTCTCTCTCTCTCTTTATCCTCTTGATCCTGGCAAAAAAAAGGGTCCCCGTAGATATGATGCCTTTTTAGTGTTTCATTGAAATCTGTCGATGCAAACAAAACAATACAAATGGGATGTTCAGAACGAGTCGATCAAATCGTGACCCTCCCCTTCCCTTTCCCCCCACCCCCAAACTGACAGTTGACTATGGCCGGCTGTAGAATGCCGGTGGAGGACGTCGAGTGATTCACTGCCCGGCCGTTGAAAGGCATTCACAGGAGGTGTACCCGCGAGGCCAATCAGGCCACACACCTCTGCCCCCACCGAGCCAGCAGCTGATGAGCAATCCCGTTCGAGGGTTGCGGAGAGAAAAATGAGAGGTCTTGACCTCCCGAACTTACGCCAGTAGGCCCCTGTAATGGTACCCAATTTACTGGCCAAGATCAAAGGTTGATAAGTGGTTTCGGATGATTGAATCGCTATCATGTGTGCGCTCGAGTGCGCGGTTTGTTCCCGCGGAGGGATTGTTGCTATCGGCAGGGTTGTGCAAGTGGGCTCGTGCGCCCTTGTTTGTGCCGCGTGTGTTGCAAAGGCAAAAGTGGGGAGCGGTGGCGCTGTGGTCGGCGCACTATGCCGCTAACCCAGCGACCTCGAGGTGCGACCCGCGCTCTGGGCCGACGTCGGTGACGAATCCTCTTGACCTGGGCCCTCCGCTCGGTCGCCTCGGCCTTAAATGAAGTACCTGTTCCGGTGTGTACACATCGGCTATTGGGGAGGCGAAGGTGGTCGGACGCGGTGCTGGCCACCCAACCCCTTAGCATGTCGTGCCGGCGGCGCACGCTGACGTGACCGTGGACTTCTCGGCCAATGAGAAGGTGACGATGTACGTGTGTTGAACTGAACTTCTTTCGCCCGGTACGTAACAAACCGTACTAATTGGAGGTGCGGGTGATGACTGCAACGTTGACGACGTTGACGATGACGACGATGACGATGATGATGCCCGTGTAAGCGATGTGTGCTGGTATGAACTGTGCGCGTGACTGTAGCCTCACCGTGGACGACTGGCGGCTGGCGTTGCCGTATTACCGCATGGCCGGCCTCAACGCCGCCGCCGTCCTGAGCCGGCACGCGGCGTCCACGAGGGCGTACGGCAGGGGCCTCCTGCACTGCCTCTACGGCATGGCCTGCGAGCGCAAACTCCTCCAGCAGGTGACCCCGTCGATGGCCCTCGTGCGTCTTCCGTTATTTGTGCTTTGTGTCGAGCCGCTTTCCGACCACGCCGAACCGCGCTCGAGCACAACACTGCAGCTGCGCGTGCACGTTCCATCAATGGGAGGTTAAAGAGTCGCCCAACTGCGACCGTGGAGAGAAGAAAGTCCAAATGTCGAGCACATCACCGATGAACGCTCCGTCCATGCACGTCCTGGCAGTATCGCTAAAATCCACACTGCGTCAACCCCACATCATTGGACTGGGTGAGACGAACCTTTGCATTCATTTATGACGATCATTAAGACAAAATTAAAACTTGCTCTTCACAAAGCCATACGAAAGAAGAAAGAAGTGGTCTGCACACCCATCCGTCCGTCCATCTGTCTACCTTGCTGATCTCCATCAAGGAACATAAACCATCACGCATACCTGAAGCACAAATGGGCGATTAAAAGCTCTGCAGTAGTGTGCGACTGTGCTCATCCAGGACAGAGATCGTACAGCGTATAATAATGCACAAATACGAAGGAGACACCGCAGCGATTCACTCCGCCGCTCCTGACGCGGTTGTCTGGCTTGACCACCTGCATGTGAAATTGTTGTTGTTGCTGTGCGTCTACATCAGCAGCGATAGGAAAGAAGAAGAAGAAGAACCATCGGAAATTACGGTCATCCTCTCGACAGCGGATTTTGGCTAGCCTTGGAACAAAGACTTTCACCGCAAGCCACAGGAGTGATGCACTTTTCAATCTGGATTGGAAACTCGTTTATTTAGAGCTGATGTTTGTGTTTAGTTTGTCCCCCACCCCCTCCCCACTACCTCCGTTTAGCACGTTTGGCTACGTACGGTGCGAAAGAGGTCCTACATACTTGCATAGGACACGGGGTCACGGTAACTCTCATGACGTCGGTCCAGTACACGAGTGAACCTTTTCGTATAAAGTTGTAGAGCCCTTGGATCAAACAAGGTGGAGCAAAACCAGACGGATTATACGGGAGAAACAATACGGCACAAATGATTTCTTATATCTGGAATCGAATCGTAACCCCGAATTGTGATAATTCCTCAAATTGCTGACGAGTGCGGTGGGGATGAAGGTGGGGGGGGGGGGGAGGAGGCGGTAATGTGGGGGGACGGTGGTGGGTGGGCGGGCGGGTGCGATCGTTACTCCGCCACTACGGACGCCCGTTTACCAAGCGAGCTGCTGTCTCGCCGGACCGCAGGAGACGGCCGACCGGGTACTGCAGGTGTTCAGCACCGTGGATCCGGCGCGCGTGCCGCACCTGGTGGCGTGCCCCGGCATGGCCCTCGTCTCCCCGGCGCTCGCGCGCCAAGCCCTCGTGCCCCCCGCCGACGGTGACGCCGCCGCCGCCGCCGCCGCCCCCGCCGCCGCCGCCGCCGCGGCACAGAAGGCCCCGGCGTCGCCTCTCTGCAGCCTCGCGGCGGCGTTCGTGTCGCTGCGCGTGGACGACGACGACGCTTCGGAGGCGGAGGCGATCCTGGCGGGGATGCGCCAGGCGAGTGCGGTGCCTGCGCTCGTTCCGCTTGGGCAGCCCGGCGAAGCCGTCACCCGAGATTCGAGCGAGCTTTTTGGCCAGCCGGGTAGGAGGGGCGGCCGTGGGTTATTGGTGGGCAGGGAGAGCGGGAGTGCTGGTGGACAGGAGGGCAGGCTAGTAGGATGGCAGTAGAGCAAGTGGGCAGGATAGCAGGAGGGCAGGAGGGAAGAGAAAGTGTGGAGGGCAATGAGGACAGGATAGAAGGAGAGCACGCGAGCAGTGGAGCGTGCTGCTTGGGAGTGTCTCTCGTTTGTGGAGTTCCTTTGACACCTGTACTCACCCCACTACCCCACACATCGGTAGCCACACAACACGCAGCGACTTCCAGAGACTCTTGGACGTCCACGGAGCGTAATGCCACGCCGGGGCCCCCCTTCTTCCACCGTCCAAAAGCCCTATTGGGTGGGGGGAGGGGTGGGGAAGCCTCGCTATTGTGCGAGGCCCGGAGAAAATGTCCCCTTTCTCCCAATACCCATCCCTGAGTGGCTCTGCATGCGTGCACAGCCACTGAAGAACATGAATTGCCACTCGACTGATTGGAAATGAGGCCTCAATTGCCCAGGTAGAGGTACTCCTCCACTCAATTTAAACTTAACTAGTTTTATTTGTCCAGTGGGGCGGGTCAGGACGTTACAACAACAAACAACACAAAAACACGATCGGAGTGCAAAGTACTGTACAGGAAAGGTAAACAAATCCCTTCACAAACATACAAATACTAGATAAAGCCCACAGCTCTTTTTCAGAACTGACCTGGCTGTCACACATGACAGCTCAACGAAAGTGGCTTATCACGTGGAAATGTATAGCAGCCAAATCCTCTCAACTTCCCTATCCGTCAACATCACTCGCACGTGTTCCCCACGCCTCCCGCCTCCCGCCCCACAGGACCAGGTGGTGCAGGCTGCCCTGCAGGAGCCCCGGCTGCTGGTGCGCGTCGACGCGGAGGCCCCCGGGCGGGGCGGCGGGGCGGGCGCCACGGCCACGGCGCTGGGGCGGCTGCTGGCGCGTGGCCACGTGGCGCTCATGGTCTCCACGCTCGTGTCGCTGCACGAGAGCGACGCGCTGAGCCTACCGGACATCGAGGACCTGCTCGCGGTGGGCGAGCCCGCGCTTTCGCGTTAGTGCGCGATCACGATAATAGTAACAACGACCGCGATTTGCAACGCGCGCATATTTCGCGAAATGCACGGCAATGTTCGATCGAGAATTCGGAGGCGCAGAGCGTGGGGGGGGGGGGTGCTCAAAGTCGCTCGCGTGCCGCCCTGCATAGGTGGGTGCCACGTGTCTCTCTCGTACCGCCCCCGCGTCACCATCACTCCGCTCGTGCCGTGTGTCTAAACTAAAAACTAAATATTTTTCCAGGTAAGGCCCACTGGGCTATCTTGGTGTTTTTCAGAAGCCACCTCGCCAGAAATGTACAGCAACCAAAATACTCGCGTGCTTCTAAATGTGGAGAGGAGGACCCAGAGAAAAATCCACGCGACCTTATGAGAGAGAGAGAAGTGCAAACTCCAAATAATACAGTTGTCAAGGTCGGGATTGAACCCACGACCTCCTGTATACCAGGCAAGGTAGTTAACATCTTGCCACCGCGATTCGCCTCCGCTCATGCCGCGCGTCTCGCCTCCATCGCTGCGCGCAGACTCTGGGGCCCGAGAGCGAGGAGCCGTGCGCCAGGGCGGAGAGGGAGGCCGTGCCGTCCATCCTGCTCGACCTGTGGGAGCACCTGACGCTCGTGTGCACCAAGCCCGCCGTGAAGGCCCAGCTGCCGGAGAAGCTGGCGCGCGCCTACCTGCAGCGCATCGCGTCCGGCGACACCCAGAGCCGGCCCGCGCTGCTCTCCGCCCAGGAGCTGGTACGGAGTCGCCGCGTCCGCGCCACGCGTGTACCTGTGCATGTCCTCGTGCGTGTCCCTGTGCGTGTCCTCGTGCGTGTCCCTGTGCGTGTCCCTGTGCGTGTGCTCGTGCGTGTCTTCGTGCGTGTGCCCGTGCGTGTCCTCGTGCCTGTGCCCGTGCGTGTGCCCGTGCGTGTGCCCGTGCGTGTCCTCGTGCGTGTCCTCGTGCGTGTCCTCGTGTGTGTCCTCGTGCGTGTCCTCGTGCGTGTCCTCGTGCGTGTCCTCGTGCGTGTCCTCGTGCGTGTCCTCGTGCGTGTCCTCGTGCGTGTCCTCGTGCGTGTCCTCGTGCGTGTCCTCGTGCGTGCGGGCGGCGAGGCCCTCGCTGGGAACTGCGAAGTCCAGTCGAGCGCAGACGCTGAGCAGCACGGCAGACCGACGTGCGGCCTCGGTGAACACCTTGACTTCTGTTGGTACGCGGCCACTTTGCCACGCTGCCCGTGCTGCAACTCGTCACTATGAGCAGCTTGGATATAAAGCCGGCTTGCAGCTGCCATTAGAAGTCGAGCCTGCCCTCCTCCTCCGTCGAGCACATGGGTGGCACCCATCGCGAGCTCCTTGTTTCGATTTAAAATATACAGCTTTTTCTTTCCATGGTCTATCCCAGACTTTGAGGGGACTCTCCTGGTGAAAGTCACCTTGTTGTAACTTAAAACTCAACAAGTTCGTCAAAAAGACTGCCTTAACATAAAAAATACATAATTTATCTATTGCCCTAAACGTCGTCTATTATATATTTTAAGGTCACAGTGGCATTGTTAATTGTGCTTCTGCACCACTGCCAATGCAGCAGCAACATCACCAAATAATGAGCTATTTAAAGTTTAAACTATTTGTTTTTATTTTACCAGGTAAGGCCCACTGTTAGTTCAATTAAGTGGCTTATCACTTGTAGATTTATAGCAGCCAAATACTCTAAATGTGTGATGTAATTCTAAATATGGATGGGAAAAACTGGAGGACCCTGAAAAAAAAATCCACGCAACCACGGGGAGAGAGACAGAGAAATACATCCAGCAAGCGTCGGGGTCGGGATGGAATCCACAACCCCCTGTATACCGGGCGAGGTGGTTAACATCTCGTTACGTCTTCGCTGTCGCGTGTCTTTTACTGCTCACCGTACCGGAAACCCGTTGGCCCTTGGCCACCGGATGCACAGTGTGCCTTGTGTAGAGGGGCTGGTGTCACTCGCTGTTTTACACACAGCTTTTGAAACGGCTTTGTGATCCGCAAAAAAAAAATCCGCTTGCTTTCCATCGCGTATTTGAACGCCTCTGGCCCGCCACCGCCGCCAGTGAGATTGTTTTAATGGAAGGCCCTGGGAGGTTATTTCATGCGAGGAAGATTGACGTAAGTGTTCTACGGGGAGCTCAAATCGGACGGTGAATAAACACAAGGGCTGGCCTTTTGAGGACGTGTGCGTGCGTGCGCGTGAAATGCCTCGCGATGTTAATTTAATAATTATTTTATTTCCTCGGCTCCAACGGACCGACCGAACCGCCGCCACGCCGACGTTGCTAACTCCATCAATCACGGACGGCCGCCGAGCGTGCGTTGTCTGGGGTTCCGTAGAAAGTGGCAGAAATCTCGCTCGGCCGCGGGCAACGCAACCTGAAGCACTACCGCCGCCGCCCTCGGCGCTCGGATCCAACTCCCAATCTCGGGGTTTGTAGCTTGAAGGCAGAGCGAAATAACTGATGACGATGATGATGAGGACCACGATTGTGATCTAGTGACGGTGCGAAGCGGCGAGGTATCGCCGCTCTCGCCACTCGAATCGCGCCGCCGAATGCGATCTCCCGGTGCGACTGCACCGGTGAAACCGCCCAAGAGGCCCGTCCGCCGGCTCGTAACCGGAATTCGGTTAATGCCCGTGTTCCTTCGCTGGTTGTTTTGTTGTTACGTACCCTTTAACACATTTTTAAAAATCGCGGTAAAAGATGACTTGGATGGGGTGGGGGTTGCTGGGTGGATTTTAAATAGAGTTTGGATAAACAGACCTGGGAATGCTTCTTCGCACTGATAACATCTCTCGCACACGTTTATAGTTTATTTGTGTCATTGAGATGTTTGTGGGCGTGATTCGAACGTGGACGTTTTTAAAGGACATCACAATTGGCAACTATGATCATGTGATGGTTATGGACTCTTTAATGCATCTGGCAAATTTAGACAGTCCATCCCTTCTTGTACTTCACGGACACATGGATGATCTGTCATCATCCACGTTTATACTAGATGTGCACGTGTGTCATTTGAACATGCATGTTCATGGCACTAATAGTAAGAATATATCCAGCAGTGTCCAGTCCACTGCTGGATAGAGAACCCCCGTGCTGTCAGCCATGGGGGATTGCTTGACCATACTTAACCACGCTGGTCATTGCGGGTTGGCAAATTGAGGGCGGGGAGCTAAGAATCGGTTCCACTGCCGTTTCGAGTATCTGGCTGCTATAAATGTCTCCCTTAAATAATCTCTTCGTTGACCTGGCTATCATTTGTGATAGCCAGGTCACTTATGAAAAAGAGCTACGTAGCGCAAGTGGGGCCTTACATGGTAAAATAAAAAATAGTTCAGGTAAGTTTTAATAGATTAGTTTTGCACCACGTGCCGTAGAGGTGTGGGGGTGGTGGGGGGAAGCTTGTTGAGCTTGGGATTTGCCACCAAACAATGCACGTGGTGCAACTCGGAGAGCAACGCCGCCGATCTGCGTGAAACCTCACGCGGCTGGGCTACTCATGGCGGTCTCCCTCGCAAAGGGGCGAGCTGTGGAAACGCGCCGCCGGGTTTTTAGTTCTTATTTTAAAGCAACGCGCACTGGGCAGCAGTCACGTCGAAAAACAAAAATTGAGAATCGTCGCCCATCGGATTTCTCCCGGGATAAATAAAGAATTCTGATTTTTATCCCAAATAAAGTGCCTCCTCATCCTCCGCCATCGCAGCAGCAGCGAGCCTTTGGGCACCGTCGTAAGAATCCCCCCCGCCCGCCTGCTCGCCCTCATTGTACAACCGGGGAAACGCGGGAATGAACAAGGAGCAGAAAACCTGAAAACAAAAGGAGAGTAATGATGCGTGACCCACCGCTGCTCCTGGCCATTTAACTCCGCACCATTTCCGTACTCGTGCATTTATTTATTTCCCCTCCCCCTCCCCACCCACCTCAGTCGCCAGGTTATATTGGAACGCCTTCCTCCTATTGAGCCTGGGCTTTAATTACCTGATCCCATCATCCAGAAAATTGCTAAAAAAAAAGAAACCTCAAGGACGTCCTGAGGGGGGTCCCCTTCTCGTGCCACAGAAGCCACAAATCTCTCCTTGCCGCCCGCTGTGTGATTGCTTTAAGTTGCTTGTTTTGAGGAGTTTGTTTTCGCGAAAGAAATTGGCCTTCAGTTGCCCCGGGCGACTAATGTGCGTGCGTGCGTGCGCGTGGGGAGCGGTGGCGCAGCGGTCGCGCGCACCCTGCGCTACGAATCCGGCGACCGAGTTCGATTCCCGCTCACGACCAAATTTTTAAATAGTGGTGAATATTTGAACCGGTCCTGGGCCTCATGTGGTTCGACACAGCCTTAAATGAGCACCTGGGGCAGTGTGCGTTTAAACATCGCTGCTGGGGAAACAAAGATTGCCGGGTGTAGAGGTGGGTCACCCTACCCCCTCGTGTGCCTTGCCGGCCTTCGTAGGTGCTCGCGAGCACCACTTGCCGCAACAGTCTGCTCAGCTAGACGCGGAATTCTTGTCTTTGTGTGTGTGTGTGGTGGTAATGGCGGTGAATGCAGCTGCGCAGACATGATCTTGAGAGAGCGCAGTTTTTGTGAATTCACATTAAGATGCCAGCAGATGTGCCCTTTCCATGAACTCGGTGACTTGAGTTTGATTACCAGCTCACAAAAATGGTGAGAAATCTGAACTAGCTATGGACGTACCATTGGTTAACGAGGCCTTAAATGAGCACCTGGTGCAGTGCGTAAATAACCAGCACTGGGGAGACAAAGGTGGTGCAGACGTGGTGCTGGCCACACAACCCCTCGTGGGCCTCGACGGTCCTCATGGGTGCCCGCAAGTAGCACTAACCCCCAAAACTTGCCCATGAGGCTATACAGGGAATCTTTGTCTTTGCGAGGAGTGGCGGCGTAGCTGTTCGCGCTCCGCGCGACGAACCTTAGCGGCTTGGGCTCGATTCGTAGCCGTGCGCAGAATCGACGGAAAGTGGCACCCGAACCTGTTGTGGGCCTCCTCTAGGTTGACCCAGCCCTAAGTGAGCACCTGGTGTGATGTATTAACGGCAACGGTCTGGAGACGTAATCCCGACCTGGTTTGGGGCTCCAACACAGCCTTCTCGTTTGCCACGAAGGCCGCAGCAGATGCTCACCAAAGAGCGCTTGCAGTCCACACGAGGCTCTTTACATAGGGTGCAGGTACGAGGCAAGCTACGTCTGTGCACAACGCGTTGGAGCAGAGTCGAAGGCTTGCTGCTGTGTACGGGGGAGGAGGACTACCCAGCTAGTTGCACAGGAAAAGCCATTAAATGTCAAGGGCATTCTTGCATGCGCCGCCAAATTAAATAATAAACACTATCGAGTTCTATTTCATAATGTTCCGTTGTACGTGGAGGGGACGAACAATGGTCCTTCTGTTCATCTCTCACGGCTCTACCGAGTGTAACGGTTACTCTCCAAACCGACAGAAAAAAATATACGCCGCGTGCCGGCCTCGCTTCAAGAAAGAGGGGGGGGGGGGGACGAAGAAAATCCACAGTGGCGCTCGGCGATAGAAACGAAAAGTGCTTAACTTATTACGCCGCCGCTAATAGTGAAAGTTGTTGGTAAAATCGTTACGCGCGCAACAGCTGACGCGAGACAAAATGATAAATGACTCCTTGCAGGTAAAAATCACGGTTAGAAAGTGAGCCGAACGGAGAGAGAGAATGGGAGGAGGATTATTTTTTTTTCGTTTTCTTGTAATGCCCGAGGGCGAATGTAGCACTAGCGGAAAGTTACGGTCTGACCCAGAGGTCATCGTAATTTTGAAAACATCTCGCTCGCCGCTCTTACCGTGTGGAAGGTGATTTATGATGGAGGCAACAGTGGGTGGTGGGACTCTGCCTGGGTTTTTTTGGCCCGGTCTCCCCTCCACCCCCACAGTCAACCCCGCCGCCGCCTCCTTCCCAACCCACAACTGGCTGGTTCCTCTTTGTCTGTGCCTCTTTGGTGCAGTAGGGTCTTCGGTGCGCTTGGGTCGCGGAATTAAATTGTCAACAAAGCCTTGCCCCAGCAAGCTACGAGCGACACGGCGCCCCCGTGGTCTCGCTCGCTCCCTCGTTTCTCCACCGTATCCGCACGCTCGGCTTGTTAATAATCGTCGTCGTCGTCGTCATTGGCCACGATCAATCCGCTGCTAGATGCAGGCTATCCCAAGCCAGCGGCCACCCCAGACACTGCGATGCAGCGACTCCCCCACCCCGCTCCGCCACGCGTCCTGCCCTCGTTGCCGCTGCTCCATCTCCACGGTCGGCGTGCTCTCGGAAGCGTTCCGTGTTGATCATCATTGTAATTTAGCACGTTTGCTATTCGCGTCTTTCTGATAACAACACAAGGCTAATCACGAGGTGCACTGTATTTCACAGACAGAATCAGAATAGTTATTTCTACTGGAGGAATCCAATGCGCTATGAAGCTTTTTCACGGATGTCTAGTCATCGAATATGGGCTGCCAGTGTGAGGGGGCCGTGTTTGTAGTTTTTTCCACCTCTGTAAATTTGTAATTTATCGACCTGCGGACCGTGGCGCCGGGCACGCCGTGGCCTACTCTTCTTTCAAATAACGTCACGGGATCTTTGAACGTCCGCTGTGAAGGAGAAGGCGCACGTGAGAGAGTTGGGTGAGAGGTCGATGGGTTCGTCCGTCCAGCGTGGTGAAGTATGGTCAAGCAACGAGGCTGTTTCGTCCTTCATCCAGCAGTGGGATTGACAAAGGCCCGCTAATGTAAATGAGCGTGGACCGGGCATCTTCGCACCATGCGCGTTTGGCTGCATCCTCTTGAACGGTGATTTTTACAAGCGTCCTCGGATGTTGCGATTCAGGGATAAACCCAGTTTTTCCGTCGAGTGCGGCGGACTTTATTTGTATTTCACCACGGTAGGGCACAGGAATGTGGGAACGGTACCGCACGTTGGCACGGCGTTCGAGCCACTTTGTGTACCTATGTTTACCGCCCTGTAAATCTCCCCCGACCGGTAACCTGCCGAGGGCAACGTCTCCGTGCCCACGTCTCCACGTCTCCTGCACGCATCTCCTCGCGCGCTCATTCACCATTAATTCCATCCCGGTCGAGTGACACCGCGACCGTGATGGAATGGCGCTGAGAGACGGGACAGGCGGACGGGTGTAAGCCTTCAGATAGGAGACGGACTGTCCAGACGGAGACACAAGGTCAGGGCTAATCAAATTTCGTCGCGCACTTGAACGATAACATTTTAATGAGAAAAATATTTACGTCTTGTCTGAATAACTCAAATCACTCCATCGGTTGCCAATCCAATCCCAGATTCATTTCAAGATCGCACTCGCTAACCTTCAAGATTTGTTCACGGTCTCACCCCTGCCCTATTCCGCTCCCTCGATCTGTTCCCCTCTACGCACTCCGCTCCACATGCGCTCTGCTTCAGCGACTGAGACAACCTTCGCTGCTGCCCCCCCCCATCGCCTCCATCTCCCTTCCCCCAGCCATCCGTGCTGTCGACTCCCTGCCCCCCCCTCCCCCCTGTTTAAGTCTACCCTTTTTAACACAAATCTGGCTGTCACCTGATGAAGCTAGTTGTAATCACTGGCGAAACGTCGTACTCAGATTGTAAATGTCGTGGCTTGGCTCTCCAACACACCGGTTAGTGCTGTACTAGTGACGAATTGGCCACGTTCTGTTTACGTGACAACCCTTACTAGTTGGCTGTGTAGGGTGGTGGCGGGTTTTAACGACACATTTATATATTTAAGTGATCTACCCCCAAAAAATCCTCTATGGACGATACCTTTTCCCCCCCTCCACACACACATTATATATATCTGATCACCTCTCTCTGTAAAAGAAACACGCCCGCTGGCAATTTGTGTGTCCGTCGTCGTGAGATGCGGTCGCGTTGTGAAGAGTCGCGATGTTCGAGGAAGACGCAGCGCAGAGGAGGGAAATATCTCACACCGGGCCGTGTGTCGCAGTCCATGCCAGGGCCTTTGCAGGCCTCTAATACAACTTGCTGCTGATGCGTCTCGTCGGCATCGAAGAGTAACACAACACTATAGTCGCCCGCCTGCGAGTGACTCGTGTTTTGTTTTGCAGAGGGAGCTCTCGAAGGCTCACTTTGGGAAGGTGTTCCCGTGGGTGGCGCTGGTGATGAAGGAGGGAGGGCTGCAGATGGACGACCAACGCACCCAGCACCTGGAGAAGCTGCAGGTACCGGCAATGTCCTTCCACACTCTCTCCTGCCCCTCCACTCTCATCTCGCTCAACTCCCATCCACACTTTCCTACCTCTCCCCTCTCATCTCACTCTACTCTGAACCACGCTCTCTCCTGCAATGATGATTATTTTCATCATTGTTAGTTTCATCATTCTCAACATCATCTGTCGCATTCATCACGATCGTCATCTCCCAAGAGCACAACTTAGTGGGAGGTCAACAACGTGGCTTCTTTCGGACGAACCGATTTCTGCCATAGCAATGTGGAACTTCCACCGCCGGCGGCATCGCACCACCACCAAACGCTGGCAATGATCTCGGCTGCTGGCCAAGCCCATCGCGGACTGGCGTGCGGAGAGCGGTCAGAGCGATCTGCCGCTCCTCTTTCCCGCGCCTGTCAGGGCCCCCCCCTCCCGCCCCCCCCCCTGCACGTCGGACGGTCCCAAGCCGCTTCCTGACGAACGCGGTGATGTGACGGTAGATCCGTGGCGCTGGGAGGGGATGACTTTCGGCCCCGTTGTAAGTAAGTGACGGTTAGCGCTGCGAGCAATGGTTACAGGCCCTTGGGTATCCCCGAGTCGCTGATAATGGAGCTGTCATCCAGCAAGTTCGGGGTTTTTTTCTGCTTCTTCTTCCCATCCCCTCCCCCCCCACCAAGCTCGCTCGGTTCTCCACTGGGACGTGGAGCGGGAGGGAGGGGTCTCAGCTCCCCAATTCAGCCCCCCACCTCCCGCCCGCACCCCTCCCCACTCCGCGACACGTTCTTAAACCGGGTGATTCTGACCATGATGAATGTGAGGGCACGAGACTTCATTACTCCGCTAAATGACACGCGCAGAGTTCACAGCCATGCTTTGCTCTCCTTTTTTTTTCCCTTCCATGCGTGTTGGTCCGTCCGACAAGATCAGAAAAACGTTGATGCCCTTTATCCATCGCCCCGCCAGCTGCCCCCCCTGCCCTGAGCTGGCGATGTGGCTGAACGCTCGGTTTGTAGCTCTTGCTAATCTCACAACGTTGTGATTTTTTTTGTTATGAGCTCGTTAAAAAAATGTTTGAACTTGTTAAGCGACCTTTTTTGTCCACGCTGAGCGCGGCGGAGTTGCGCCGGCAGAGATATCGATTGAATTATTTAGGCGTTTTTGAAGAACGCGTAGGCGACTTACAGAAAAAGTATTGATCTTGAGAGCCACTTCTCGGCTTGCTCTGTTTATTGAGATTTTGAGCAAAGCTGGACCAATATTTGGCAAGGAAAATTGCATACTTCAAATCTTATCAATGCTTCTCGTACTGTCTGGGGAACTTATTCCAATATGGAAGAAGGCTATATAAAACAAAAAAAACTTTCAGAAATTAGCATATGATCTTCCTGCAGGTTCTCTTACATTGATTTGTTACAATGAATGCAATGTCCACGTGAAGCCGGGTCAAGAGATTACGTACGCAAGTTAGAGACGCACCTCATTGACCTCAACGAATGTTGAACTTCTTTAGCGCGCACCGCACGTGAGCCGACGGTGCTCACGAGGTTGAGACTGGCGTACGGTGGCTATTCTTTGTAGCCACGTGACTGTCCTTTGTAGCCACGTGACTGTCGCTGTGCGTACGCTGCCCCCACGTCGCGGTGCGTGCGTGCGATACCGCTTGGGGGCGCTAAAGTTACAAAAAATACACCCGAGATCCAGCAGGCCGTTTGCCCAAAACGTTGCCCAATTTTGTTTATTATTTTAAGGCCACGGTGTCATTGGCGAGCGTGTCAAGGTTTTTGTTGTTGTGAGTTGTGCCCCACTGCCAACGCAGCAGCATCACCACCAGATGATGTGTTCTATACCCATCACGCTTTGCCCTCGCAAACATTTCCTTCTGTTGTTTTCGTCGAAGCAAAGCCGACTCTTCATAGACGTACAAATCGAATCATGTTGCAGTCCGTCGGCTCGTCGGTTTTTCCAGACCGGTGTAATCCAGCGGCGTCGTCCGTTAAACGCGAGCGTTACTCTCAACCGGTTTACACCTTCTGGGTCTCATCGCCAGCGTGAGGCTCTGCGAAACAAATGGCCGCTGGGCGAGCAGATGTCAATGGCAAATTGAGCCCATCTAAACTACCGGGCGAAAAAAGCAACTTGAATGTGGCATCGTACTTTGCATCGTTCTTTCAAGTCTGTTGCATTCTAGCCGCGCTACGTAAGGGTCGGTTTATACGTTGAGCCGTGTGTGGCAACTAGTAAATTTGTTAGTTTTTTTTATGTGTGTATATATAAGCGTACAGTCGTGTCAAGCCGACGGAGGGGGGTCACGTTTGCTCGATCTTTGAGCCCGACTTGACAAACCCACCATGTACACAAATTAGCCGAGGTGGGCGAGGTCTTGCTTTGAAGGTAGTAGGAGTTCCCCTGAGTTCAATTCCTTCCACATGTCCAACAATGAAATGAGAGTTGTAATCGTCCACACTCGCTTGGAACGCATTGCCCGAGGCCCGGGACTCGTTTTAAGGAGGGAGGAGGTCCTGCATCGGGATGTTTGGCAATTTCTTCGATGGGCGTCGACATAATGACCCTCATTGAGACATCGCGATGCGCGAGCCAACACGGTCAGGATGGCACTTGCTTCATTCGTCCTGCGTGAATCTTTTCAAGGAGATGCGTGGATGGGGTTGTTGTTGGTGTTGTTGTTGCCGTTGTTAGCCGGTAACTTCCCACTGCACGGCAACGGCCTCTTCCCCCATCGTCGTCGTCTCCTTCCTTTCCTCGGCTGCTCCTGTCCCATCCGTGGCCGCCCCCTGTCCAGGTTGTGACCTGCCGTCTGCGTTGTGACCTCCCGAGCGTCGTGGTTTCTTCTCACTGCTGCCATCTTCTTCCAGCGACTGCCTCTGCTTCTCCTCCCCTCTCTCAGTCTCCACCCCGGAGTTTGTTTCATCTCTCATCTCAAGTCAGGTGTTTTCGTGATGGCGTCTTGCCCCATTTCCACTTGCTTTCATTCTCCTTTAACAGCAGCATCCTCATCGGCGTGACCCCCCCCCTCTCCTTATCCTTCTCTCTTAACGTTTGTCCCTTTCATTCCTTAACCAAACTCCCCCCCCTTCGACTTTCTCGCATTAGATTGACGTCCCGACTGCACCCGTTTTGCCATAGCGAGACCCTGGTCGTGTGCAAGCCCCTCTCTTACAAGTTCAGAGGTTCCTCGCGCCCCAATTGGCACGGTTGGCTACGTACGGTGCGAAAGAAGTTCTACATGCATACATACATGCTCGGATACAGAAGCAGCCGCAAGCGAAATGCGTGCGGCCACTTTAAGGAAACGTGCATTTTTTTTGTTGTTTTTTTTTTTTTCCGGAGAAATCTGAAGGCACGACGAAGCCAGCTTCCCACGACCGCACGCTGCTCCTCGATAACATCTTTCCCGAGACATTAGCGTCATATCCCGAGAATCTTACAGATGCATTCGTTTGCCTCTGCGAGCCCTTTGCAAACGGCAACGGAAGCCTGAGAATCTTAGCGGCGCCTTAATTGGAGGTCTGAGCTTCGAAGCGAAACGGCGAAGTGAGAGAATCTCAAACGGTCCCTAAGTTTGACTCGGGGGAGCCTTGGGAGTGAACGTGATATCCGCCAATGCCGACCAGCCTGGACTCTGGACACCTGGGGAAAAAAAGCGCCCTGGTGCAGCGGGGATCTTCCCGCTGAGACAAAGTTGTCCGAACCTTGGACAGTAACATTGAAGCCTGTGAATCCTGAAGGTGCAAACGTGCCTTCGCCTGGCACAATGAGCCTCGGGTAACAACGCAGAAACATAATGCCAGTAAAAAAAAACTGGTTGTCGGAAAAGCCTTTTGGAAAGTCAGTTCTCATCAACTCGTATTATCCACTCTGTTGTCTTTCTCTGGCTTCACAATTAACGTTCCCGTGAAGAAGGGCCATTGCTCGAAACGTTAACTATTTATACATTGTCCCTCTTAAAGCCACGGTGTGACTGACGAACGCGAATTCCAAAGGCACTTGGTGTATGGCGCGCTGCGTGTAATGTAGCGCTCGAGTTGCTTGTGTGGTTACACGGTTTGTGTGTACCATCTGCTGGCGGTCCATATACTTGGTTTAATTGTGGCCATCTCGGTGGCCGCTGGCACCGAATTGTTCACGAGAGCTTTGTAGGAATCCTCCCCCGTGCAGGGAACCACGGCGTGTAAGACTCCCACGCGCCGGTGTCACGGCCCCCATTTGAGAGCCGCCAGCGTGCGCTATATATGTAACAACAAGTCTCGGATGCTGGAGGAGCCGGAGGAAAGAGAGTCGTTTTTGGGAATGAAGAGGGGGAGGGCAGAGAACAGGGGGGAGGATGGAGAAGATGGAAGCTCTGGGACCTCCTGCAAGTGCAGAGCACCAAAGCAGCAGAAGAAGACGCATTCCGTGGAGGCGACTGACCTATTGCGAACGGATAGAACAGAATTCTACAAACGTGACGCGAATATGGAGGGAGGAAAGAAGAAGGGGGCGATGGTCGACACGACTGTCAAGGTTTTCGGGGTGGCGCTGTGGAGCCCGCGGACGAGAGCGCCGCGTGCTGTCGGGCAGCGTGATGTCCGACGTTTCGTGCCCACCGTGCTGTGAGCTTCGTCGGTTCAAAATTCCGATCGCCGAAGTAGGCCCGCGCAGCAAAGTCCGGACGTTGCGCTGGACATTGCGCGGTACGACCCGAAAGCACGCAGAGAGCCTGGGACAGATGGTAAAAATTAGGCAACAAAAAAAAGAGAAGAATCGATTTCTTTCGATGGGAACGTAACCCCGGAATCGTTTCATTCCATCGCCGAGGAGCGGCGGAGTCGTCGTCACCACGCAGCGCAGTCCATCATCCTCATCCGCAGAGTAAATCAACACTTGTGCTGATAAGTGCTCATCGGGGGACATTCGTGGCTGGGTCGGGCGATGGGAACGGGGGACGGACAGCTGGCGGGCCACGTTGCGGTGTGCGCAAAAAACACTTCGCTCTCCAGCCCACACTCCCCGGG